AACGGGCCAGTCGCAGTCCGCTCCCACGCCGCGTCGTTCTGTGCACACACTGCATAATAATGTTTCCTCTGTGCCTGATCCACCCCCGAATCTGCGCCATTCTTCCTATTTCCATTTTAACACATTCAGCTTCAACACTGGAAACATGGCGGCCCTTAAAATCTTTTCTCTCGCCTCTGCGTCTGCGCTCCTGATGGCTAACGCTGTCCACCAAACACCAAAGCAAACTCCATTGACAGCGAGAGGAGTATCCTCAACCTACACTGTAAATCTTGGTATGTCGGTATATGATTGTTTTCTGGGGACGGTTTAAGCCATATGGTGGTCCAAACTAAATGCGTTGGCGTCGATGAGTTGTGCTGTCCCTTCAGTGGCGTTTGGAAACAAAAAAAAGTCATTCGAATGGCATTAAATGGCTCCAACTCATTTTCGCAAGTATCAGCATTTGTATATTTCGGTTTAGGATGTCTGCATCGTTCGTTTTAATGCAGGCGAGACGGCCGTGTGCCTCGCCGAAATCAACGATGCACGCGAAGCCGCTGGACTCGCACACTTCGTAGCGGCCAGTAATGGAGAATTTGCGTGGCCTGCAACTAGCCGCGAAGACAGCGGAGAGACAAGTGATGCCTGGGATCCTGTTTGCAGCGCTCTGATAGCAGTAAGTGCCTTTCATTGCGGCTTGCGCCATTCGACCTCCTGTCCCTACGTCATGCTCGCCTGTTTTCTCTTGCGTCATTTTATCCCTTCAGAAAGACTCAGGAGACGAAGCAAAAACGGGCACAGGCACAAGTGAATTTAAAAGTGGTACATACGCATTCATGGCATTATCAACGGACCAGGTGGACTGCGCCGCCGCCGTGGACCACTGGCAGGACGCCCTCAACAACTTCACTTCCCTTCCTCCATCGAAGGCTGAAGGAGACTCACTCTACGACAAACCAGAGAACGTCTCTTTTGTTGCAATGTACAACCCTTCAGGCAGTGCCGCTGCTGACTGTCGAGTCGTTACCTGCACACAAACGCCCTCTAAATCCGAACTCTCCAACTTACGGAGTAGTAATGAAGCAAAGACAGGCTATGCTCTACTGTGCTTGACCACTCCTGACCTGATGAAGGATGAAAGCTCTGCTCCATTCTCGTAAGTTTTATACCAACCCCTGCAGTGTAACAATTGCACACAGCGCTGGGTATGTGCCTGCGACTGCAATGCTGTATGTTGTCCATCTGTTGGCAATTTGTGTGCAGGGAGGACCAGTGGAGTAAGATCAAGGCATCCCTCACAGGCTCAGCCTCAGTCGCCGCCCCAAGTCTCATTGCCTTTGTTATTGCTGCCCTTGGCCTGGCTGCCTTTTGAGGCAGTGGCCTCTCCGTCACACGCGCCGGTTCCTGATTCCATTCAAGGAAGACCGCGCTTCGCAGTGCCTCGTTCACATGTTCGCGCCTTCACAACAGACCCGCTGACAGACAGACGTTGGCGCGACAATCAGGTATTTTTTACCGCTGCCTCCCTAGGCCTGCGGTTATTAAGCATTTTCAACGCATACCCGTACATTTCAGTATGCGGCAGTCAGCTTTGCACTGCAAGTGCCATTAGTGTACAGGCCTTCTCAGCCTTTTTCTAGTTATATTGGCACTAGTGTCATGCGCTACCAGCTGACAGGTCTTCTCAGCTCTTTTTTATTTATCCAGACAGCAAATTTTTGCATCTATCGACTGATTTTGTTGCACTGGCCTGAGTCCTACCTACTTTTTCCGTACCACTGATGGACAATATGACACGCCCGCTATGGATCCGACGCATCATGCGTCGCTACATTCTTTCTGCCGTCTCTACACACATCTGTGCGTGAATGCCGTCCTGCATGCGCTCTTCCTGTGGACGGGAGCATTAAGTCTAGCGACTAGTAGCAGTTGTTTCAGCATTGGCAGAAGCTGGCACGTTGTCATGTGGCGAAGTATTGGAGATGTGCTCAAGAATTTGATGAAAGAGCCACCCTTAACAGTGTTTTTGCCTTTTTATGCGCGGGCAAACAAGTCCTTCTTACCATTATATCTGCAAGCACAGAAAGCCTTCTCGAACTCGCCCCTCGTACGAAGGGACACCAAACAACTCCCTGGACCAAGGCCAGAAGAGCACGGAGCCGCAATTTCGAAGCCATTTATACAAAATAAGTCTTCAAACAAACAACACAAATTCTTCACTTCGAATTAATCGGCCGCTAAAAACGAATCGTGCTCGAGGGACCCCAGTGCTCACCTGGTCTATTGAACGATGGCAGGAACGTGCACCTCGTGTAACGGGCTTCCCGTTGTGTTCAGTCGCTGTAGGGGGAATTTTCTTGGTAGTCCTTCTGGAAACATATCACTTTTGGACCGCCAACTGCGGCAATGTCGTAAACTCAACGCCATTCCTTAGGCAGAAGGACCCCACGCCGGACCCGATGGGCCAGTCGCAGTTAGCTCCCTCACCGCCTCCTCCTGCACACAAACTGCACAACATATTGTCAAGGTTCTACTTGCAGTCCCTTCAAACTTGCATATCTCTTCTATTCTTCTTGCCCCATCATTCTCCCTTAACTCACGAAGATGGCGCCTCTTAAAATTATTTCACTCGCCGCTGCCTCGGCCCTCCTGATGGCCCACGCAACCCAAGGAGATACAGATCATGATGCAGGCACAGATGGGCAACAATCATCAACATACACAGTAAATCTTGGTATGTTGGCAAACAGCTGCTTGCTGAGGAGAGTTTCAGTCTCATGATGGTTCAAAGTAAACCTGGTGGAGACAGTGAGCTGTGCTGGAGGTTCAGTGTTGTTTTGAGCCGAACTGGCCCCTCCGAGTGCTTTAGACAAACCAACCGCTCTTCACAACCATCATCATTGGCACATCTGGGGTTTTGTCTGTATCGGTCGCATTTCTGCAGACGATGCCAGTGTGTGCCTTGCCGATATCAACGGTGCTCGAGAAGCCGCTGGACTAGCACACTTTTTGGAGAACAACAAAGGCGCAGAAGCGTGGCCTACCACTGGCGCTAACGCAGAAAGAGGCGGACAAGGAGCTAAGCCATGGGATCCTGTTTGCGAAGCTCTTTTAAAAGTAAGTGACCTTACTCCCTTACAACGGTGGCCTTGTAGTCCCTGCTCCATTCCGCCCTGTTTAGTCCCGCATGCCCTTTCATCTGCAGAAAGACGAAGAAATCACAATGCCGCAAGACTCCGAAGAAAGTGACTTTCCAAGCGGTACATACGCCTTCATGGCCTTGGATACAGCAGAGGCGGACTGCGCTGCCGCAGTGAGCCACTGGAAGGACGCCGCCAGCAACTTCACCTCCATTCCTCCACCGAAGACTGGAGAAGAGGAACTCTACAAGAAACAGCATAACGTTTCTTTTATTGCTATGTACAACCCTTCGGATAAAGCGACTGCTGACTGCCGAATAGTCACCTGCACTCAAACGGTAGCTCCTGTTGTATTCAGCTCACGGAGCGATACGGGGGAAAAGAAAGGCTATGCTCTACTGTGCATGACCACACCTGATGCACTTGAAGGCGAGGAAGCTCCCTTCACGTAAGTTGGCTATCAACTCCTGCAAAGCGATAGTTGTGTATAGGGCTGGGCCTGTCCATGCGGATACATCGCTATATGTTCTTCTGTTGGCGGATTGCGCGCAGCGAAGAGCAGTGGAACAAGATCAAGGCATCCCTCACAGGTTCTGCCTCTGCCGTTGCCCCGAGTCTGCTTGCCGTCGCCATTGCGGCCCTTGGATTGGTTACCCTTTAAAGCAGTTCTCTTCCCGTGGCAGGCGGCGGCTGCCGATACGATTCAACCACAGCCGCGCTCCGCAGCGTTTCATTCACATGTTCACTCCTTCAGAACGGAAACTCTGACTGGCGTGTACAGCTTAAGCAGGAGTTTGCTTTCCGCTGCATGCATAGGACTGCGGCTATCCAAAGCTTTCAACACACGCCCTCTATACTCCTGCTTGCGTCTGTTGGATTTGCGCTGCATGCGCCACTAGTTGACAGGCCTTTTCAGCCTTTTTTATTTCTATGGTCAGCAAATGCTTGCCTGTCTCGGTTGCTTTTGTTGGGCCGACAGGCGTCGTACTTACTTCTTCCTTTTTACTGGTTTAAGTGACCGGAATTATTGCTCTCCGTCTATCGATCCAGGACATCGTGCGTCGCTGGATGCTTGCGCAGGTGTTTCCTCACATCTGAGCATGCATAAGGCCCCGTATTTGTGCGTGTTGCTGACGCAAGCAGTGCGTCTAGCGACCAGAAGCGGGTCGCGCTTTTTAGGATTGGGAAGTACAGAGGGGAAACTGAAGAGTTTGATAGGAGCGTCGCCGGCCATAACAAGAGGGGAAGCCATACAACTCCCTGGACCACGGCCGGAAGAGCAGAGAGCCACAGTTTCAAGACACTATATACTAAACGGGTTCAGCATTTGCCCAGATACCTTATAAGGAGGCGATACATGGACATGGCAACATGAATCGAGCACGAGGGTCATCGGACCTCCGCATCGCCGATTCACCCAGAATGCCAGGGATTTTCCGCTGGCATTTCATGTCGCGCTCAGTAGCATTAGGGGGAGCTGAGAAGACAATAATACTTGAAATACCTCATTTAAGTATTTTCAACAACGACAGGGTTCTAAACTCAACTCCAGCGCATAAGCAAAATGACCCCACGCCAGAGCGGACGGGCCAGTCGCAGTCCGCTCCAGCGCCGCATCGTCCTGCACACATACTGCATAACATACTGCTACGTCTGTTATCGAACCACCCCAAGACTTTTCTCATTCTCCCTGTTTTTATTTTCACGCATTCAAGCTCAACGCTGAAAACATGGCGGCCCTTAAAATTTTTTCTCTCGCCTCCGCGTCTGCGCTCCTGATGGCTAACGCCGTCCATCAATCGGCAAAGCAAACACCATTGACAGCGAGAGAAGTGTCGTCAACATACACTGTAAAGCTAGGCAAGTTGGCAAGTACCTGCATGCTGGGGGGGGGGGGTTCAGCCT